AGTTAAAGAATTAGCTTTAGCATCTCATATTATATGTACAGCTTACAAATGTTTAATAAAGCATATATAACTAGCCTGACAGAGGGCAAAAAAAAAAAAAAAAAAAAAATTAATTACAATTTTAATATTAATTAAAATATTAATAAAATATTTGTAATAATGATCTATAAATAATAAAATTTATAGTTTAAAGAATATTTATTTAAATAATAACTGTCTTAATCTTCTTAGAAATTTTATTTTTACAATTTTTTGAAAAATTTTATTTATCTCAATCTGATCTTGAATTTTGGATAGTACAAAACTTATTAAAGATACAAAACATATTAATTTTTTAAAAAAGTAAATAAGCTTCTATTGATCATATCAGCATGTTTTAATAATATTAATATTAATATGAAAAAAAAGTTCTAGAAGATATTCATCTTCAACTGAGTAAGTTTTTTAGTAAAATAATTATAATATCAAAAGATATTACAAAGGATAATGCAATTAGTTTAATTTCTTTTTTCATTTAATTTTCTTAAATAGTAAAAAAACTTTTTTAAGAAAAAAAAATTGAGATTTTTCATTTTTTTAAGATATTTTAACTTGATATTTGTTTAAATAATGAATTTATTCATAATGTTACAGGTGGTAGCAAAGAAGAAATCTATTTTAAGACTCAAGCAAAACATGAAAAATATCTCAATTAGGCAAATTCCTTTTGAAAAGAGGTCATTGAATAGACAAAAAAATATTTTAAATATGCTTTGAATTGTTTTCCTTTTTTTCTCTTTTTCAATTACTTTAATAATTTATTATTTTTTGAGATAATTAATCCTGATATCAAACTATTGAGGAAATATAATATTGTTCCTTAAATCTGACTTAGAATACCTAATTGAGACTTAGTTTTGTTTAGTTTGAACCAACTTAGTGGACTCTTTATATTTTTAAGTAATATAATTTTTCAACTAATAATGTATAATGATAAGTTAGTTGCTTTGTGATAATTTGTAAAATATTTTGATACCTTTTAGTATCTCAATAAAAACATGCCATTGTAACATGGTCACGGGTAAAAATTATATTTAGAGTCGAATAGATAAATTAGTTATAATATACTGTTTATAATCAAAACCATTAATAAAGATATAATTCACAATGAGAAAGAAGTACCATAACCCAATATAATTATTATTAAATAAAAACATAGGCTTTAATTTTAATATAAATTTAAAGTATTATTAAATAAACTATGATAAAAAATTTTTTGAATGCACCGTATATTATTAATAAACGAAATAATTTATTGATCAATTTGACGTAATGATTGATTAAAGACGTTTAATCAGAATTATCAAAATTATCAAAATTAGATCTTTATGCATCGCTACCCTGTTATTATTAGTTATCTAAATAATAATATAATATTTAATACGTGATCTTGCTATGCTAATAATGAATCGTCGATGTTCATTCGTGTTCCAATTGTTCCAGAAATCAAATTACAACTGTAACTTATTAAACGGTGCGGCGAATGTTGACATTAAAATCATGCGTTGAAAAATTAAGGCAAATAGAAAACCCGATAATAGTTCCAAACTTCTGATAAAACTTTGATTAAACAGTAAACATCTGTTTATGCCTTTCCGTACATACGATCGACATCATCCTTGTATTTATTGAGAATTTCTTTGCGCTTGAGTTTGTGTGCAGCAGTTAAAAGGCCCTAAGTAATACATAATCGGTTAGAAACAAAGTCTGATTAAAAAAAATCAATGATAAGTTGACACATTACATTTTGTGAAGTCCATTCTTCGTGAGTCAACGCAATGTGAGATAACATTTCGGCAGGTTTTAAATCTGCCTTCTTTGCTTGGGTAAGACAAGCATTCAATACTGCAGAAACTATTTCCTTGTGGCTACATAGTTGCTCGAAGCTTAAATTACCTAGATTCTTCTCTTTGGCAAGGTTATAAATTTGTGCTTCTACCGGAAATATTAAAGCCACTGGGCGGTCTCTAAACGAATCTGCGCAAACACAAATATTGGACACAAATAACGTGGAGCCATAAATAGACTCGAGTCTTTCTAAGGCTATATATTCGCCATGCGCCAATTTCACCAAATTCTTCTTTCGATCGATGATGGATAACGTTCCGTCTTCCTATAAGAAGAGTAATTTATCTATGACCAATCTAAAAAATATGTAAAGAAATATAACCAATAGAGTATGCTTACAAGCCATTCGCCTATGTCTCCTGTTTTAAGCCATCCATCCTCGGTGAAAGTCTCTTTCGTGACTTGTTCATTTTTGTGGTATCCTGATGTTATACAACCACCTCGAATCCAGATCTCACCTTGAGGTCGTGGCGTATTTGTGGATAAGTAACCGGCCTCGGGAACATCTACCAACTTAATTTCTACACACGGAACTGGTGCACCAGTACTTCCATATTGAAATTGATCTGGAGATAAAATTGTGCACATACTACATGAAAATAAGACTAAATTATTCACTAATTGACAGAAAATTTCCACTTATTCACAAAGTTTACCCGCAACTTTCAGTCATTCCGTATCCCTGTACAACGGGGCATAAAGAGACTGTTAGGAACTCCTGTGTATCGCGCGAGATAGGCGCTCCGCCTGACAAAGCAAATCGCAGGCGACCACCTGTATTTTCCTTAATTTTATTAAATATGGCTGTGTCCAATACGCCAGTAGGTAATCCTTTGCTCTGAAGCCATCTCTTGGATTTAAATGCAAGATTAAAAACCCTTTGCGCCGTTGGAGAGCTCGCATGAATCTTTGATAAAATTCCTTTCCTAATAGTTTCCCACACAGCGGGGACACCAGTCAACAGGGAAGGTCTAAACTCGCGAACATCACCAAAACAATTACGTACGGACGAATCAGACAATGTTCGCGCACTACCGTAACCCAAGGTTACACCCCACCAAATACATGCGTGTTCCACGACAAATTCCAACACATGAGCAAGAGGAAGGTATGCAAGTAAAGTATCATCTGAACGAACAACATTCTGAAGCAGTCTATCGACACCGGCGACTATTTGGAGGAAATTTGTTTATGCGATGGTTGCTTAAAACAAAAAGTTTCTATTATAGATGACTTACTTGCCGCTACTAGATTAGCGTGCGTCAATAATACGCCTTTCGGATTTCCAGTACCTATAAAAATCAAATTTATTTAATTATGCATTTAAATAATTCGTGAATTTTCTAAAAATACGAACTCACTTCCAGATGTATACATGATACAACAATAATCTTGCGCCGCTGGCGGATTATAATCGACTGGATTATCTTTTCCCCACTGTTTAAGTTCTTCTAAGCTTAATAACCGAATTTCCGGATGTGCAGCTTTTAATTCTCCTACAATATTTCCGCTTGGATCACCATCGTAGATTACAGATTTAAGAGTTGGAACCTTATCAGCAATATTTTTAACCGTCGGAAGAAGATTGGCGTTGGTAAACATGGATTCAACCTCGGATTCATTCATAGAATGTAGAAGACCTTGCTCTCCTAAAGTATCGTATGCGGTCACGATCGCGATCCCCTGCGAGAAGCATCCTATAATGAAAACAAACCTTAGGCTTCTTTCCAGCTCAATAAATAAATTAATATTTAAATTGCGAGATATCAATGAAATACCATGTGTTACAAGCATCCAATTAACGCTAAATTGAAGAATAACGAAAAGACCTTACAAAAATGTTATCGTATTGAGAAACAAAAAGAATAAATGCGAAATTACCTAGTAGCAGCAAAAACAGTAACCTTCGAATTCTTATGCAAACCCAAATTGACTAGACCAGAGCCAATATACTTTGTCTGTTCTGCTGCTTCTATATAACTCAAATATGTATAACCCGACAGTTGAAAATACTTCCAGACTTTCTTCTCTTTGCGTTCTTCTCCGTTCACGACTTTTGTAATTTCCTTTTCTTCTTCAACCACCTTTTCAGTTACTCTATAGCCCATACATTTTTTGTTACCATAAGTCTTAACACCATGTTGAAAAACGTCATAAAGTGTAGTTACACCCTCGGCTGGTATTGACAAGAGCTCATTAGGAGAAATTACAGAACGGCGAATACGAGTCTCGCCCTTAACTTCAGGACCAACAGAAATGCTATATTGTTTCTCCATTCCAAGAAAAATATCTGTTTCTTACGTGAAAACGAAAGCGGATTTATAAAATTTTTCGATGACATAATGTCATGTGAACAGCTTGGTTTTCACAGTTTTCACATGCGATTTTCTTAAAAACGTGATGTGCCATGTGTTATACGTAAAAGGTACAGTATTGTACTGTAAATCTGATTAATACATATGATAAAATAAAGAATTACTATGTTTTTTTAATAATCATTAATAATAGAATTACTACATATAGTAAGATCATATTTATAATCAGATTAATTTATTAATTAAATACTGTAAATATATTAATATATTTTCTATTTTCTAATTTTCATATTATTACTAGCAAGTTATTATTATTGAATATCTTATTAGGTTATTGAAATATAAGAAATAATAAAGGGAATGAGTTGAATATTTAGAAATATATAAATATATTTAAAAAAAATTAAAAATAAAATCATATTTTTCAAAATAAAAAATATTATATATAGTATATATATATATATTTGATTATTTAAAAAATTTATTTATTCTTAAAAAAAAAAAAACTTGTTCTATTGATCCTTTAATCACACACAAAAAAGATGTTTACAAAAAGTTT